AGGCTGTCAGTCTTCACAGAAGCAAAGCCCAAACCACACCCACGGCCTGGAGTCCATTCTGACCCACAGCGCCCCTAGAGGACAGAGTGGAACAGCCCACGGGGTCTCCAAGGCTGTCAATCTTCATGCAAGCCAACTGCCACAGCTTTCTTCTGTGGAGTGGCCAGTGGGTTGGAACTGCTGACCTTTGGGTTAGCAGCCGAGCACTTAACCATCGCCCAGGGCTCCTTTGTAGGTCAATGCTGCTGTGTGCTGTTGAGTCCATCCTGACTCAGGGCAGCCCCACAGGACAGAGTGGAGTTGCTATAATCTTGGCAGGAGCAGGTCACCGGATCTTTTTTGCTGTGAGCTGCAGCCTGGGTTTGACCCGCCAGCCTTTTGATCAGCAGCCAAGAGCTTATTCACTGTGCCACCAGGGCTTCTCGATTGAGTCATAAAAACAAACAAACAAGAGAACACAAGCTCACTGCCATCGAATAGATTCCGACTCACAGCTGACCCCCTCTGGGTTTCCGAGGTGGTAAATCTTTATGGAAATAGACTGCCCCATCTTCCCTCTGCAGAGTGGCTGGTGGGTTTGAACCGCCAACCTTCTGGTTAGCAGTCAATGCCTTAGGCACTGAGCCACCAGGGCCCCCTTGATAGATTCATAGGAGCCCCGATTTCAGATTGGGGTACACCTTTATGCAGCCCCTCCTGCCAGGTCGGCTGCCTTTGCCTCTAACGGGAAAGACTGGGAAAGGCCCTGGAGTGCTTTCCTTGGAGACCGCAGACGACAAGGTCACCGTGGCCCTTCCGTGCATCTCCTTAGTCACTGGTCTGGCGCGGGAGACCTTCTCGTCTCATGTTTGCATGTCTAATAACCGTCCAACTCCGTCCAGCTGCTGTGGGGAGTGGGCAGGAGGGCAGCACGCAGTCCCTGAGGGTTAACCATGGGGCCGTGGCGGCTGGGGACCCCTGGGAGGGCAGCTTTCTCTCTCCAATGGAGATATTTTGTTGTCAAAATGTTCACGTCACCATTTTCTCATCACGTCTGAAAAATCCAAGGCTAATGACTGGGATCTTGGAGATGGGCTGTGTTTGTTTGCAGCCCTGCTGCCTTGCGGGAAGGACTTCAAGGGAAGGGTCCAAGTCAGGAGGGAAGAAGGGGGAAGATTGAGGGTCTGTCCCTTATTGCTTAGCGCCCTCTGGGCAGGGAGATGGATCTGGAAACAGCAGTGTTTGCTGTAAGTCCCAGAACCAAGGGGCCAAGACCTCTGCTTGAGCCCAGTGGGGGCTTTCAGAGAAACGTCTGCCAGAGAGATGCTGGCGGGGACTTTTCCAGAACGGGGCGGATCAACTCTGCCTGTGGTGGTTTTATTTATCTTCTGGGGGAGCCGAGGGGGTGGCTCAGGAGTCCTGGTGGTGCAACGGTTAAGTGCTCGGCTGCAAGCCGGTCAGTAGTAGCCTGAGCCCACCCAGAGGCTCCGGAGACCCCGTCCGGCCGTTCTGCTGTGCGTGGGAACTGAGCCGGCCGCCCACAGCAACAACAGGCCTGGGTTTGCGTCTTGGTTGGGTTTTTCACTGTGTTGGCGGAAACGTCTTCACCGGGGGGTGCCGATGCTAACGGCTGATGGGGGCGTCTGCTGCGTTAAGGCGTGAAGTGAAGACGTGGGGAGAAATACGAAGCCTTGTGCTTAAGTTTGGATTTCGTCCCGAAGGAGGTGACCACACGCGACATGTGGCGTGTGTCCCTGGGAGAGGAGCCAGGCATGACAGCGTGTAATTCTCTCCTGGGGACCTCTTCTCTCTGCAGAGGCTGGGGCCCTGGAGGACCTGCCCTCGGCCCTCTCACTGGAAGAATCAGAGCAGCAGCCCTGAGGACAGCCCCTGAGTGTGAAGGTGTGACCCTGGGTGTGAAGGTGTGACCCTGGGTGTGAAGGTGTGACCCTGGGTGTGAAGGTGTGAAGGTGTGAGCCGGAGGAGTCGAGGAGTCGCGCGCAAGCCCGCCCACCCTCTCTGCTTTGATGCTGTGTTGTTACAACCTCATGTTTTTTGTCCTTGATAATTAGCTTGTTTGAGTGGCACAATAAACAACCTGCTTATGAAGCTCTGGTCCTTCCACTCTGGTTTCTGACTTGTGACACCACCACCAATGTGTTTGAAAAGATAAAGCCTGACTGTCACTCTGCCAGTGGTGGGTGTTCCCTGAGGTTGCCTGTCCTCCAGATTTTGGAATAAGCCCTTCCTGGGGGGTCCGGGGGGTGGTTCAAAAGGAAGCAAGTGCTTTCTGTTATTATTTTTTGAAACACCGTTAGCATCCGGTTTAACTGTTCTAGGAAGACATAAGACAAGATGCAGTGGCCACAGCCTCAGACTGCACAGTGGGTTGTACTGGTATCTCGTCTGCTGTGTTGGCCTTCTCTACCCCTAAGGTTTCTGGAAAGATCTGGGGGCACAGTCAGGACATGTGGTGGGTGGGTCTGTGCCTCGGTGGGATCGGAAGTTGCTGATGACGGTGGGAAAAGCGCGGTGTGCAGTGGCTCCTAGCTCCAGCCTGTGGCTCCCGGGGGCCCTGTCCGCCATGGACTCCCAAGTGTATCCATCAGGGACGGTTATGGTGAGCTACCCCTGCCCCAAGATGTCGGGCCAAACTGGGGGTGAGGTGAGACAGGGTAGGAAAAGGGATGGAAGTGAAGGCTCCAACGGTCTTCCAAGGTACCCTGGCCTCTCGGCCACGCAGCGGCTCCTCCCAGGCGGCCAGCAACTTGGAGCCAGAAACAAACAAGCACACAGAAACCAAACCCACTGCCGTTGATCTCGGTTCTCACTCATAGCAACTCCCACTGGGTTTCTGAGGCAGTAATTCTTTATGGAAGTGGATTGCCCCGTCTTCCTTCCATGGAGTGGCTGCTGGGTTTGAACCACCAGGCTTCTGGTCAGCAGTCAAATGCCTTAGGCACTGCGCCACCAGAGGGAGGGAGGAGGGATGGGGGACAGTCAAGCAGCTACAGCTTCCAGGGAGAGGGGGTGTGGACATCTGTGTCCTGTCTTCTGAAGAAGTCCTTCCCAGAGCCCCACCCACCCCTGCCACTGTCTGTCTGTCACAAGGTTCCAGGACCCTGAAAAACAAAATAAAACAAAAACCCGAACTGCTTCTTTCTCCTCTTGGGGCATAAAGGGCGATGGTGGTCTCTCTCTCTCTCCTGAAGCTGGGGCAGGAAGTGGGGTGGATGAGCAAGGGTGGCCTCAGGAGGCTAAAGCCTCTGACTGGAGGGGGTCTTCTCTGGTGTCAGAAGGGAGCGTGGGGGCTTCAGCCCAAAGCATCAAATAGGCCTGTTGGGTCTGCTAGCCTGGGGTCCGCGGTGAGCACCTGGCACCTGGCGCTGTCTGCGTGCTTGCAGCAGGTAGTAGCAGAGCAGGCAGGCAGAGCCAGCGTCACGCAGCCCGTGGACGGCCAGTGGGAGCCTGCAGGGAGCACCAGGGAGAGGGCGCCCACGCAGGACCGATAGGCACAGCACTTGGAGCGGGAGCAGGACCAGGGGTGCTTGGCACAAGAGCCCTCCTCGCTCTCACTGGGGCGGGCGGAAGATGCCCTCACCAGGCCCATGCAGGTGCCAGAGCTGACCAGGGCCTGGGCCGGGCACAGCCACTCCTGGCTGCAGACCCAGCAGGAGGCCACCGCCTGGGGCCCACTCCCTCCTCACGTTTACACTTCCCGCAGGCCTCACCTGAGCTTGTCCAGCTCGCATGGGGCCGTGGGGCCCTTGAGGACCAGTGCTGCAGGCCCACAGCTCCCGATAAGACCTGGTCAGCCCCGGGGGTGGTGCCGTGTGGTCTAAGAGGACATGCTTTGGTGGTTCAAAGAGCTCAGGTACCGGCTGAAGGAGACCTGGTGATGGGTGACACCCTGGTCGTGGCAGGGGATGTCGGGGCTGGCTCTGGGGCCCTGCCCCAGGTTTCCTTGGAGTTGGCAGCGGGCGCCAGGCCAAGGCTGTCTATGCAGCCATTTGTCACGTGGCTGCCCTTCATCTGGTGGTTGGGCAGGATGGTGACTGGGTGCTGGAGCTGGCCATGGGCCACCCAACTGTCAAGGAGAGGCTGGACCATGACTGAGCTGGGAGGCAGGGGCCACTCTATGGGACTGGGGCCTCCATGGTGCTACCGGTCCTGGCCTGCTCAAGAACCAGGCTTCCGGGGCCCTCTGAGGAGCCCAGAGCCACAAGCATCACTCCCTGTCTGTGTGAAGCCCCGAATCCAAGGGCATCAGCAGCAGCTGTTTGTGTAGACACTGGCCGGCTGGCTCCCTAAGCCCCACGCCACCAGCTGCGGCTGTCAGCTCCGCTTGCTGCCTCCGTGGCCGTGTTGCAACCTGTTGTTTATCACCTTAAAGAGGTCTTTTGCTGCAGATTCGCCCAGTGCACTGGGCCACCTGACCCCTGACTGCTCCTTCCAGGATCCGATTAAAACGAAATCCCTGACAACTTCCGTGTTTCCTTCGCTGACCGTGGTGCTGCTTATTGGCCCACTTGTGAGGATTTTCATTTTCTTTATGTGGGGGTGTCATTCACACTGCAGACAACAGTCTTGGCTCTTCATCAGTAAGTGCTTCAAGTCATCCTCACTTTCAGAGAGCAAAGTCGTGTCATATGCGTATTGCAGATTAATGAGCCTCCCTCCAATCCTGATGCCGCGTTCTTCATATAGTCCAACTTCCGATGATTTGCTCAGAATAAATATGGTGACAGGATACAACCCTGATGCACACCCTTCCTGACTTTAAACCATGCAGTGTCCCCTTCTGCTGTTTGAATGACAGCTTCTTGGCCTATAGATAGGTTCCTCATGAGCACAATTAAGTGTTCTGGAATTCCCATTCTTCTCAATGTTATCCATAATTTGTTATGATTCATATCGTCAAATGCCTTTGCA